ACTTTTTCCGAGCCTGCTGTCTACCGATGAGCCGAGGTATCGGCGCGGCGACGACTGAGGGCATCGGAGAGAGAACGGGAGCAAAGAACATATTAATCCAGGAACGCTCCGACCGACCGACTGCCGAAAGGCAACCGGACCGACCAGAGTTGGCGCTGCGACCCGCACGAAAATACACCTGATCCAAATTCAATGGATTCCATCCGAAGACGTTGATGGGGAATTCTCGAAAAGCTGATAATTGACCAAGTCGACAGCCCTTGACATCGCTACCGTCGGTCGCCGTCTACATCGCCACCGGCGCGGCGGCAGCGCCGTCTTCGACTCCGGCGGCGCAGTGATAAAGACAAGAAACGTCATCCCAGTCCAGAGAAAGCGTCACAGTCGACGAGGAGTAGCGCCGCGCTTGGACGGGTCCTCCTCCTGTATGAGATGGCCCGTTGTCCTGAAACGCCGAGGGCGGCAATCAGCTCCGGTCGGTCGGTCGGTCGGTCGCCTGCCTGCCAAGCGACAAGACGTCGGGCTCGAGGGGCGGACAGGGCAACCGGCCCGGCCTCCTCACCCCTACGGAGTGAGAAACAGAAAACAAGGTCCGTGTGGGGCCCGAAGTCATTGGAGTCATACTGACCCCGACCCCGAAAGCCCCGTCTTCTTACACGACTGCCGAAACGAGAAAAGGGGACAATCCGCTGAGGAGCTCCTGGTTCGACGTCCAATGCCCGACTAGCTTGCGTCAGACATGCCCCGGACGAGTCGGAGAGGCCGCACAACAGTTAGACAGAACTTCTACGACAGTCCGTCCGTTGAAATGGCAACGAGTGATTTCCTACTGTGGGCGATCACCAAACACAGTGTCGGATCGTTCGACAAGCCCGCACTGGCTTCTCGGCTGAGCGGTTGATTACTGAGCTGTCAGGTGAAGTGAGTGAGTGAGCCAGCTGACCCGACCGGCGAAAAAAAGAACACGTTCACACAGCGTGCACTCGGTCGAAGATTGCGAACCGGGACACCAACGGCAACAGCAGAAGCAGCAGCAACAACAACAACAACAACAGTTAAGGCTCCTGACGGCCTCTTGTTTCCCCCACTCAGGCCTTGATGTCGTCCCGTGTGCACTCGACTCATCGCATGCTCTGACGCCGATGTTGCGGCCCGAGGTGAGGGACAGCTGTTTGTTGAGTGAGTTGTTGTTGGAGGGCGACGAGAGTGAGAAGAGATGAAATGGCTGCAAATCACAGAGGACTTCGCGAACACACACGGGCCCTCAGGCTCATGGTGGTGGTGGACATTTTGATCACGGCGAGAGTCCCCAGCAACCATCGGCTTCGGAATTCCGTCCGGCGACGTAATACAATCCTCGAGCTCACTCCTCGTTGATACCCGGAGACCTGCCCGCGAAATTTATGGCAGAGGGTGGGAAAACATCGGAATCCGCTCGTTTCATCGGAGGGCTCCTTTGACCATGGGTGGAGCGCGAACACAAGTTCTTGATTTCCGACAAAGAGGCCAATAAAGCCGTATCAAGAAACGGGGTAGACGAGCCATCTCAGTCGTCGACGCGACGCTTATTCGCCTCTGGCGGAGCGAAATGGACTTGAACATGAATCGAGACAACGGGCAAAGCACGAATCGCAACTGGAAGAAGTTTCGCTGCACGGGATTAGAAAGTTCAGATCAAATTATCTCATCTCGCAGCGGCAGAGAAGCGTGCCCACTCGAGTAGTGTAGGCGTTGCTTGCGAGGATGGGAAGGATGTTTTCATCTGAAAATCTCGCCATTGATCGCAGCAGAGCGGAGAGTGTTCACGCGGTTCACGGGAATTTTGAAGCGCCTGGTTCCGGGACGTTAGGCTCGGGGTCAATCTCACCAGCGCTATATTTCTAGATACCGACGCCAGACCTACCGGAAACCCGCGGATTCTCTACTTTCCGGACGGGGAGCCGAATGGGAACCCTGACGGAAACTCAGACCAAAATGCTGACGGGGAGCCTCTCGGAAGCTCATGCCGGGAGCCTGACCGGAAACCTTAACGGAACCCTCCCGTATAAGTCACGTTTATCCGGGGCGATGATAACCCTCCCAGGTGTCCTGTTGACCAATCGATAGCCTCGAGGTGGTGGTATATGGATTTTTCCTCGGCGGACAATATGAGCCGCGCTTGCCGCCGAGTCCAGGAGCTCACCTCCCTGGCAAAAATTCGGACAGGTTGGACGAAGATTTCTTCATTCGCCGTGGAGAGCGTCAAGCTTCGAGCAATGCGATAATTCCGCGCATCCACCAAACAGTATTGCGAGATTCTATACGCAGATTTAAAATTCCGATGATACGATCCCATCTTTGACATACGTCGATGCATCTCTCGTCTGAAATCAGGCTGAGTGAGAGCATGGGATTACCCTTCTGGTGGGACTGATTGGATTATCCGACTCTAAGAATCGGCTCAAGTTTCCGACCACAATCTCCCGCGCCATGGGTTCTGAGTTCCAACGCCATATAGCATTCGAGGACGCTGGAGCAGAGGTGACCGCTGACTTGTGGCTAAGAGAAATAGCTTATCACGGTCATCGCGGGTTCCATCTTCGGCGCACTCCCGAATTCTCCCTGAACGCGGAGCTTGAGTCCTCGGCGAGATATTTCATTGCATCTCACAATCTGTCTCATCCTTTGACCGATATTGAAGTATTTCGAAATATGTATTATAGAACTGACGTGAGCCACAAGTGAGGTGGCGGAGATGGGGGATTCGGAGCCCTGCGCACAGAAGCATGCTCGGAGCTTATGATTCGACGGATGCAGATCGACGATTTTCATCTCGGGACCTGACGTCCGAAAATTGATGAAGTAAACGAAGCATTTCGAAGCAAGACCCTGATCGAAGTTCAGATTCGCTCCGCTTCAGCTCACCTTGTCTCGACCGAGAGCTCGCGCTCCCGAATTCGGTTGCTTCCTACGAAAACGGTTTTCGGGTAGCTGCCGGAGAGCATTTCTCGATGCTCAAGTGAATTTCAGGGGCCAATTTTCACGCCCTGGACTAGAACGGTGGGCAGAAGGGGGGGAAGACGTCCGAATTAGACTTCGGCATGGACTCCGGGCTACGTTGCTAATGCACTAGAAAATTCTCCGATAGAAGCAGAGATGAACCCTCGAAGGGGTTGCCGAAGCTTTTGGCTCGGAAGATCCAGATAGCGACAGCTGCTGATGTGGAGATCGGAGGGCTACGAGAGGGGAGTTGTTTCAGGACAGCTGGGACGATCTCGTGCCGCGGGAGAATATGGGAGAAGCGCCCGCTAGTCGGCCTTGTTGAGAAGAAATTAAACTTCTTGAACCATCACAACGGTCACGGAAGGATACTTCGCAGTCTCGGAGCTCTAGCCGGAGAATTACGTGCGCTGTTCGGATCCACAACGATCGAATAATCGTACGTATGAAGTAAATCAATGAGGTTGGACAATCACCGCAACGGATAAATGCGACAGGAGGCGGCGGGCTTTCGCTCGCGACCCCATTTAAAACTCGTCGATGACCGAGTCTATATGGACTCAATTACCAATCGAAACGAGTTGGTCCGCTTCCCCGTGGCACAACCGTCGACTCGTTGGTGTCCCCCACGGACTTAGCGGAGGAGCTCAATATTTTCGTTGTTTTGGAAAAGTCCCGCGGCTTCTCACGCGGCGCCTGTCAGCTTAATACACAGCGACTCTACCCGGAGGGAATTTGTTGTTTAAGCCACCCGGCGCAACGTTGAAGAACAGCATCGCTCGGCGTCGGCGTCACCGCGGCGATGGCGGATGGCGGTTCTTTGTTGGCCTATTCAGCCGGCGCAGGATGAAAACTTTTTAGGTCACCCCATAGACGTCATAGGCGTCTGGCAGATAATGCCCACTACATAAAAGCCACTGATCACGACGCGGGCATGCGAGAAGCTAATTTCCGAGGCGGACTCGACGCGTAACTCTCCCTGAGCTCGCCTAGCGAACCTCCATACACACCAGCACTCAGAGTGTTCCCCGGACGGAGCCCACGTCATCGCTCGACGAATTTTTGGCTTCCGCCGACAGGACGCGAGGATGTCACTCCTGTCGAACTCGCTGCCCAGAGGAGCAAAACTTCAAACCCACGCGACGCCCTGGATTCTTCCACTGTGTCCGTCAGCGGAATTTTATTCCCATTTTATCAGATAGCCACGCACAACATCTGGGGTAGTAGTGACTGGACTTGCCCTAACGTCGAACTCGGGATTCCCTCGACTCAGACTGATCCGGGAACGAATCGAGTGCCTTCGTCAATCTATTCCCTTGCGGTTATCCTCAGGGGATTCGGAGGGAAAAAGTCGTTGAATAACCGCTTGAGCCTGTTCTTTCGCCTTTTTTCGGGTGATTCAACTTCGGTACACGTTGCATCTCAAAAGCGTCCGCCATCGAAGGATTGGCAAGGAGCTCGAGTGGGAAACCGTTCCCGACGTAGTTATGGGGACGTGATCGACCGTTTTCCGAGACCGAAGACTCCCCAGCACGTTGAGGCTCGAATTCGATTAAGAGTCGGAGCGACTCTCGTTCCATCGGTACATTCGTAGTTCGGACCCAAGGGACATTTTCCGAGCATTTTCGCCGAGATTTCTCGCCATCATTGTCTCCTTTGATAGGACCGTGATCGTACTCGTGCGATGCTGAACTTTCGTCTTCTGCCTCCTCGGCATCACATGCGTCAATGTTGGGAAAAGGAGCCGCGCCACATGAATTGATTTTTACAACCGACGGGGGTTTCCTGACAGAATTGATTCTCCTCGACACCGCATGTTTTGATTTCACCTCATTACTCCATGAAAGGTCTTGTCACTTCATTCCATGTTCTGAACTTCAATTTCACACGGATTTCGTGAAGTTTTCAGATGTTGTACGGGACTGGGGAAATTATTCGGAGGCGGGCCCGACGAGTATGATGTGATGTGAATCGTATTTGTCCTCTCCTGTGTTCAGAAGCTATACCAGCTATTTATTTACCTGCTGTTTCTTTCGAAATCACCGACGGCCGATGTTTAAGTCATTTTAGATGCACCTCTGTCAAGCACTTCCACGCCAAGTTGCAAGTGAATTATCGCAACGTATTTTCGCTTCGGTAGAAAGAACGTGTTGTCTATCAACTAGTGTTGATGTGACTTATCCTGAGAGAGTTGGTGTCACTTGTTCACAAAGGAGCTCAGACCTCGTGTGCTCGTTTGGGCCTCGAGCACGCCCGGCCTCGTGCTTGCCCTCCTCCTTCAGGAGCCCCGTTCTCTCCCTGCAGACCACGGCGACATCTAGCAAACGTGTCCAGAGTTGTCCCAAGCATCCGAGCAACATCTGACCGTGCGTCGTACGGTGCGAGCGTGAGCGGAGCGCTTCGAGAATCTTTCGGGTTTTTCAATTAGCCCCTTTAATATGTATGGAAAAGACAGGGACAAGGGCCTTTCAGAAGAAGAAGAAGTCGGGATACGCGTCGATCGCCGGAGTGCAATCGAGGAGCTCTAAACAAGCCTATCACCCAAGGTGCTCGTTTATTTTAGTATAAGCAACTCGCTTTCGTAGAATAGGTACACGGAGAGCCGAATGCTCGAATGCAATCTCCAGCGGCCTCAGCGTCCATGCTCCATTCGGACCTCGAGTGGGGCAAGTATTTCCAGCTGTATCGGATCCGTCATCGTCGCCGCATTCCCAATCCCCACGTGCCCTTATCTGTTTCGCGCATCGTTCTACGCTCGAGGTCTGATTGTCTGGGAGGCTTGCATCAGCGGCGATCGGCGAATATACGAGACGGGATCGGGACTGTCAGAGTACTGGCATGAGAGCAGAGATTGGCGAAAGAGGCTGTCACGAGATGGAAGTCATATCTGAATCGGTCTTCTTCCGTCGCATTCATCATAGATGGGCAGTCGTCCTCGAACGACAAACAAACAAATCTCCGATTGTCTTCATTGCTAGACACGGCAGCATCCTCCATCATTGGCGAAACGAACGGCCCGGTGTACGTAACGCCAATATCCCTCCTCACATACAATTACTGTATTCACAGAATGTTAAGCATTGATATCGGCAAATTATGTACTCACCTTAGTGATTACCCTCAGTATATTACCGCCTCGGCAATCACCCTGAGGGACGATCATGCTGATCGGTGCTCGATGAGCCCTCTAGCCCATCGATCGGTCGGCTCGTGGATCGGCTTCGTACCCGAATCGTGTCACCCCGCTGATGGGAATTCCACGTTCCCTCCAGCCCGAACTCTGGCATCCCTTGTAACGATCGGAAAACTTCCGGAAAATGATTTGCACTTGAACATTCAAAGAGCTCGCTATTATCAAGCACTAGCGAACGATTCCCGTACCTTCCTAATCATCGATGGGCTATCCGAACAGGTTTGTTGCTCTCTCAAGAGCAACGCCGCTGAAGGAGCATTCTCCAATAAGACGAAGATTTTCGCAAACCTATCTCCTAGCAGTTTTGAGTCGAGCTTGCGAGCCGCACATGATCCTCCCTCCTGATCCTGCTTGGGATCGATCATTGACAGAGATCTCCGGCTGAAACAGTCTGAATAGCAATGGGCAGTAATAACTGCAACGCCGCCAGCCCAACGAAAAATCCCGATAAGCTTGTTATTCCCGCGCGAGGTGGTCGGTGTGGAGGTGGCGAACCGAGCGGGGTGGATTGCCGTCGGGTGAAAGATCTTTCTGTGAGTGCGAGCCGGAGATCGGCTGCTACTGGCAGGAGATGACACCCTTGGGACACCACCTAAGCATCGATGTGACCGTTATTGGCCCAAGTGTCGCGAGGCGACGTGGTGGGGTGGGTGGATTTCCGTGAGTTGGTCACCGACGAGCGAGAGTGCAACTAAGATCACAGGCAAACCGACAATAAGTCCGTTTCGGCCAATGTCAGTCACAGGCTTCGGAATACATGGCACACACATGTCCCCGCATAGCGTATGCGGGGAATGTGATCCATTAATGTATGCGGGCATGCATGTATGCATCCAACGGTCCACATTTGTACGAATGTATAGATTCGTGTGGTGTTTGCGAGAACGCGTGTCTTTATGTAGATAATACGTTCGGATATGCAAAAGTGTCTTCGAGCTCTGCGACTGTTCCTATGTTTTCCGGCCTGGGTTTGAGCTCCGTCGACCACGCGCATTCAGAACACGTTGCGTTTCACATCGTGCCATTCTACATTTGAATTGCGAGACGTTCTCCCAAAATGGCATTTGCGACCGGATAGACTGCCTCCACGCTTCTCAACAATGAGATCTGCAAGCTCGGAGAACGCGGTTTCGCAACAGCGACGACGTCGAGGGAACGCTCGCTCGCATCAAGACTCAAGCTCGTATCCTTGATGCTTAAGTTCTCGATTGAAGCATTCTGCTCCGGGAAAATACGGAAAACGACTCCACCGCAAAACTCGAGCACGTGCGTTTCCAGACGCCGAAGAACTAAACTAAGGAAAGGGGTCGTGGCACTCGGTGAAAAGAAAACCATTATTGGGAATGAGATCCGCATATACCAACGAGAGCTCGCGTAAAAGAATCTATCCTCCCCGCTATCGTAACAACGAGCCCCCGCCTAATCTGCGAGCTCCATTCGTGCGGTGGAACCAGAGATGGCGGAAAGAGGGGGACGGAGAGAGAAGGAGTGCAAGCGCGCCACGCGCGGAGAGAGTCGGGCTCTGCCGTTACTGTCGCTGTGGCGAGCTGGCCAGGGAAACTTGGAAAGGACATTGCTGTTATCTTATCGTTCAGCTATTTGCATTTTGTGGAGTTCTCTCCGCTTGTTCCAGTCGCAGCTGAGAGCGAGCGAGACATGGAGGCCGACTGCGGCGCATTGGGAGTCCGCGCGCGCGGAGCTCGAGCGGAGAATGCGTAGTAAATCAATCTCGATAATCCTGAGCGAAAGACCGATTGTTCCCTAATCGTCGAAATAAGGAACTCGAATCCTTCGCGCCGTAATTATCTATCAGCTGATGCCGCTCTCGAAAAACGAGAAGCGTCTTCACATCGATAGGATTTCCTCCGTTAAAAAACTCGAGGTCTGACGCAGATTGCGTCCCCGACTCAACCGGACATCGCGACCTCAGCCGCTTGAAATCGACGCGAATGTCCCAGAGTGGGTTCATTTTGATGGGACGAGACAGGTATCGTGGCGTGAACGAGATAGACGAGGGGGCTTCGACGGCACCAGAATATAGATCACTCTCTTCGGTTTGTCTCCTCTCAAGCATTAAGTCGACCCCACTGAACTGACCGTGAGTGGCGAGGCTCAATCTGGGGCCGACGTCACTGGCTTTGCGGCTATAAAGTTAAGTGTTATGCATGTTGTAAAAGACCTCCGCAGCTCCCGTTAGCACCCCGCAATGGCCAAGGCTGCTCGAGAGCTCGCTGACGGGGAGTGTTATTCACTCCTATGATCACTCACATCGATCCGATCGTGGTACGAAAGTGGGAGGAGGTGGAGAAATAAGCAGAGATTTTCAACGATCGATCAGATGCTCGCTCGTACCTACGCTCTGAGGATTTTCCGGCATCGCTCTCCATCTTACCGCCTCGATTTCGCGCACCGAATCGTGTCTCGTGTCTCTTGCCGACTTCGTTGTGAACCGAGAATGCTTGCACTCCCCCTCCCCCGGGGATGCCGACAGATCGGGACCGCATCTCCGGGGCGAAGAGCTCTGCGGTCGCTTCCGCCATCCGGTCAGCTCGCACGCAGATGAAAAGATGCAAACAAGGAGGAATTAAGAATGCGAGCCTTGATTTCCTCGCAACGGCTAAGCCGCTTCTGCATAGAATCAAACAATTTCAACGGTCTGGAAGCTGCTCAGGTATTCTCGGGGTCACTCGGTTCTGTGGTCTTCGTCGACGGTCGTGGCGCGCACTCGCTCGTTTGCGTGTCTGTCGCCCGTAGGACGCCGTGCGCTTCCATCAGTCGTGATGATTCTCATCGCTCATCAGAGAAGTAATTCGTCTCGCTCTCTCTTCACTGTTCCGG